CTCACCACATGAAAGACCACACTAAAATAAGTGTTCTTTTGCGACTAGACTAAACCAAGAAACAGAAAGAACGAGACAGAAAGAACGACAACAACAACAGCGAAACCGAATGAAACCACCTTCGTTTAAAGAGGAAAATGAATACAATACATGCAGATTATGAACATCCTTATAAAGTCAGATATCGTTTAACTTCATAAGCGTCATAAGCTGAGCTGACTATAAATATTTGTAATTCAACAACAAATTTTCYTCTGCTTTCATTAGTTGAAAGACGACCAAGTGACGCAATAGTGTGCGCCGTGGAGGGTTAGCATCAGTGCATTGAATCCGCCGCTTAAAAAAAAGAACGTTGTTGAATAATATAATCAATGGCAACATAACTCGGAGATTGTGAGAACTGTTTTTGSAAGATGGTCGACGTCAGATGCAGTATTTTGAAGTATTTTATAAAAAAAATATATAAGTTATTTTTTTATTGACAAAAACATATAATTGGTGATCGTTAAAACTTATAAAAATGAGATCAGAACAATATTGGGAAAAAAATATTAACCAACACTATAAGTGTTTAGTACTGCAAAATTTGAGTAGCTAATGTATTCAGTGCTGAAAAAAGAAGTGAATTGGTACATCATAACTGTTTTGAGCTCCTGTGTTGAAGTTAATTCATGAATCTGTTCTTTGATTATTCTTCATGCTCTTGATTTGCAGTTTTGCAGAATTATTCCATCGCTTTTCTYCAAGTYATTGTTAAGCGGGTTAAGCTTTGTTAATGAAAATATAAGTTTATTAGTTCATCGACATCAAGTTGCTTGTAACAGAAAAACATGCAAAGGCGACATAAAAAATTTTGATTTGTAATTCATATGATAAACCTACTAAGACTAACAGTCAAAAAACATGAAGCGCCATTATTCGATTCTTGGTCCTCGATTCAACATTACATTATTGAAATCATATTTGAATTCAATATCGACATTTCATTGGATTATTGATCAGATTTTCATAAAGCCTTCTTCGTATTTCGCTTGTAAACATGCTGGTCTTTTGTAATTTCAATATGCATTGCAATATGCTGTCTGTTAATGAGTTAATTTGGTGTATTGTATCTGTTCCTTCTCGTGAGAAAGGAATGACGCTCTCAAAGCTGGAAATGCTGTGTTGTTTTCTGTCATCAGAGTTTGAGATTTGAATTAAATTTTGCATTAATCAACTGAAGTTTGAAAATGAAAAAKATAATGAAAAATCCAATAATGCATTGAATAACGAACTATCCGGGAGGCGCGCTTCATGTCTTTTGACTGTAGGTATATCATTCATAAGTTTTGTACTTTATTATCTTTTATTTGTATCTTTATTACCTGGAAGTCTTATTAAAGCGGAATAGAAACCGTCCATTTGCTTGAAGTTTATTTATAAGGCCGTGAACTTCTTAGCAGAGACGCCATGTTGATACCATCCTCGGGAATCCAGGRGTAATCTTCTGCCGTTCGTTCCTCACTCCCAAAAATGATTTTCAATCCGTACAATTCTACACCAAACAATAGAGTTTTTCCAATTTTTCTACTCATGAATCCAGGTTTTTAACGTACTGCGATGGTTCAGTTGTTAGTTTCGGCAAATATCGATTCAATCCACAGCATATAACACAGGGAACCCATCATGGTGAACCTGACTTATTTACCGATCGCAAAAATTATAAAAAATGTACTGTCTTAAAAGCCAAACTTTATTCAGAAACAGTGTTCGCTATYATTAGAAAAAGGAGAAAAGAAAAKAAAATCTCCAAAACATCTAAAAAAAAAAAATCTTCTGTCGCAAACTGGACTCTAACRGCGGACCCGTCTGTGCTCCCTATAAAAATACTAAAACACGCAAWTTGTCATCAAAATGGTACCRTGGCCGAATGGTTTAGGGCGCTGGAACATAAGGCGATGTATGGGGAAATCGATGCCCAGCAGGACTTCAGAAATATTTATTTCATTTCCTTAGCTAAATACAGAGATATGCACAGTAAAGACCGTAAAGACGAAAATAATAATAATAACTATAGTAACAAGGCCAGTTTACAGGAAAGTGAGTGAGTGAGTGACAGATCGTTCACATACAATAACAATTCGATTGCTAACGCAAAATCCGAGTTAAAAACAATGAGCAGGTAAAATCTCGGTCATTTTTCTGCGAAAGTTGCCCTTGGAAATTGGACGAGAAACTCGATCGCATTCTCGGTCGACTATTGTTCATCGGAACATCCAGCTTCCGCGGGCAACTATCACAGCATAATGCCCTCGATTCAACTATCTCTATTGTTGAAATAGCGTATAGTAGTCGGCTACATATATAAAAACACCTTAGAAAGAAAAAGTAGGAAAAAATAACGATCGATTTCTGTGAGGCACAAATTCAGCACGCTATAAAAAAGCTACAAATGATTAGCCTGGGCGGTCTGTGATAGCGGTCGATGACACTATTTGCCATTCCGAAATTCACAAGGAGACTGGGAACGAGTGTGAAAATATTACATTCATCGAAAACTGAACCTCACCAAATGAAAGACCATGCACACTAAAATAAGTGTTCTTGTCAAGTTTGAGCATAATTGGTTGAATACTCGCCGAGTAGGAATTTTTTCAAATTTGTAAAAATAAGAGAGAATGTATGGTTTTGGGGACGGTGCTCAAAACTTCAATACATTCTTCGCAATTTTTACGAGTTTTAAACGCTTATTAATCCGAATACACTCACACTCAGCAGCTGTAATAATTTTAGTACGGTCTTTCTTGTCCTGGTGTCTGTGTTTTGGTGCTTCAAACCGTATCGAGTTTGTGACTAGTCACCAGTCCCTTTTTGAATTTCGGAACGGGCAATTAGTTTATACGCTTACAAACGTCAAGATAAAACGCTACACGTGACCAGTTTAAAGTCAATCATTTTAATAACATGATTGTTGAAATAAAAGCTATATAAAACTGGAATTCCAAATGAATTTAATAATAATACCTAATAAGAATTTAATAATTCATTCATTYATTTATTTAGAAAATGATAGATTTGAGGCCAATTTATGAGGTCTATAAGCTAATCATGCTTTATACGATAAAGAATAACCTCCTCCCCAGGCAACTCTTTTTTCCTCCTTTGGGCTTCCTTTGTAACGGTCATCTTGGCCGCTAGGAACTAGTACAGTAACTCCCAAAAATGACAGGA